AAGTGGTGCCTCGGGGCGCGCCCGGGATCCGAACCCGGACCGCCAGCATCAGAGCGCGCGCACTCAACCGCTAAGCCACAGAGCCGGCCCTCATTGGGCACTTTTAATCTGGAAACCTGTCTTCAGTTTTGAGAAACTTTCTTGGATTATTTCCCTAATAATTTTCTCTCCTCCATTTTCTCTGCTCCCTTTTTTCCCCCTACAACTATTAATTGGATATTGGACCTCCAAGATTGATTCTCTAGTTTTATTGTCTTTTCTGCCCATGTGTTTATCTCTCTCTCTCTTTTTTTTTGATTCTTCTTTCTAAATTTCCTTAACTCTTTCAATGAATTGAAAATTTTCAATTCAGTTATTGAGTTCTTTCTTTTTTTGTTTAATAAAAAGATAACTTTGAGTAATAGGCCAGTAGGAAGTAATTCGCTATTAGATTACACTACTTCTGATATCAGATCACTTGTTTTTAATTGGGAAGCCTTACAGATATCTTGTGATTATCCCAAATTCAAACTCTTTCACTCAGTATCCAATGCAGCAAAGATTATGTGCTGTTTGGTAAGAGAGCATGAAATGAATAGAGCAGGTGCGATTTGAAGGAAAGTATACATGCAGAGAATTCCACACCTAGTTTTGTGGGTGCTTTTGCTATGGATTATGTAAAGTAACAGAATCTTTTTGGTGTAATTTCATAGGATGATTTTTCAGGATTGTCACCGTATGAAAGGAAGAGACTGAAGAACATATCAGAAAATGCAAACTTTTTTGCTTCTCTTCAGTTGTCTGAGGTTTGTGTGGAGTTTCTAATTAAAACCAAGATGCCATTCCTCTCTCCAGTATGTCTATAAAATACTCATAGTATCACATTTCCCAGTGTCAGGGAGGGAGGGTAAAATTAGGAGTAAGTTTTGCTCTTAATAGAAAGAGGTTACCATATTTTATTGATTCCAAGACTTGTTTTTCATTTTAATATTTTTGAAATTGGCATCTTAAAACTATAACTGGGAGTCCCCCCCCACCCCGTTTTGGTGGTACATAAAATAATAGTGTCTTATGAATGGTTGTCTTGGATTCAAAGAAACAGGGTATGTTCCAAGTGGTTGCTTTAACTAAAGGATAAAGAAGTTGGGAGGGATGGGTTGAAGGATCTGTGGTAGAGGAGTGAGAAGACAAGCTTTTTCTTTTTTTTTGTTTAAATGTTAAACTTTAAGAATAGATGGGAATATGCTTTGTATGGGAAAGCTTTAAGGATAAATGGCCAGATATACGCTAATGTTTTATAACTAAAGGTATAATTTACATTGGTGTCTTCACAATGGGGTAAAACTTGTGTGTGTGAGAGAATAGCTGTTTAGAGGGTATATGATGTTTTACCCCAAAAGACATCAAACCATTGGCTTTATTAAATAATTAATTGATTTCTCTGAATACCAGGTTCCCAAATATTCAGTGTGTGTTTGCATCTTTAGGGGAGGGAGGGCTAGTTAACATAAGGGACTAAATTGTTGTGTCAATAACAGTTGAAAATTCATCAGAAATTTAGACAAAGCATCTCCCTATTTCATTTTAGTTAACAGAAATTATGACTTTATTTATAGGAGTATAACCTATAACTTTTCTGAAAAATATCAAAGTAGGGTTGCCTATAGAAGAAGTTAAATCTTTTAATTTGTAATAGTATATTTGATTAAATGTTTAATCATGTAGAATCATTAGCAACGTGGGGTCCAAGGTATCAGAATGTCAGTACTTTAGACAGTATTATATACTTGCCTGTATTATTGGTAGTATATTTGTCTCAAGTCTACTACCAAGAGCAGGTATCATATCTTAAGGATCTTTGTTTCCTGTATAGATCTTAGTTTAGTGTGGATGTAGTAGCAGATACTTAATATTTTAAAAGGTAAGCTATATAGTTGTAAGATAGTGTTTTTACATGTATATGTTTTGTGTATTTTGTAGTCAGCTGCAAGGCTCCGTGAAATGATAAAGAAGAAACAGCCTCCTGAATCCAAAAGGTAAAAGATTTGGTTTGCAATCCCTGCCACGTGATATATTGCTGAGTTGTTTTATAATTTGAAAAAATGGTTCGGCATAGTAAAATAAGTAACAAGGGCCAGCTGGGTGGCACAGCGGTTAAGTGCACGCGCTCCGCTTCAGCGGCCCGAGGGTTCACAGGTTCAGATCCTGGGCACGCACTGAGGTGCTGCTTGTCAAGCCATGCTGTGGTGGCGTCCCATATAAAATAGAGGAAGATGGGCACGGATGTTAGCCCAGGGCCAATCTTCCTTAGCAAAAAGAGGAGCATTGGCATTGGATGTTAGCTCAGGGCTGATCTTCCTCACACACACACAAAAAATAAAGTAAGGAACAGATCAGCAACTCTGTAATTTAATTTTAATCCTTATAGGATCTCTGAGGGAATGCTACTGTTTAATAGCTCTCAAGTTCTCATCTTCATCAAAGGAATATAGAGGAAATAGAATCTCAAGAGCTGGGGCCAGCCTGGTGGCATAGTGGTTAAATTTGCGAGCTCTGCTTCGGCAGCCGGGGGTTTGTAGCTTCAGATCCCAGGTGCGCACATATGCACCGCTCATCAAGTCATGCTATGGTGGCATCCCATATACAAAATAGAGGAAGATGGGCATAGATGTTAGCTCAGGGCTAATCTTCCTCAGCAAAAAGAGGAAGATTGGCAACAGATGTTAGCTCAGGGCCAATCTTCCTCACCAAAAAAATAAAAAAAATTTAAAAAAGGGCAGCAGTAATTAAAAAAAACAGAATCTTGAGAGCTGAGTTTTGTTTATATTTACTGTTGCTGCTCCTGGAGGGAAATCTTTATTTCCACTAAGTTATTCTTATTTTTGCCTAGAAAAGTTTATTCTTAAAGATTCTTCTACTTCTATTCTTCTGGCTATCTTTTTGCTTCTCAATTTGTTTTTTCTTTCCCATTCCTAGAGTGAAGGAAGGAAATTAACATTTGTTGAACATCTATGAAATATAGTGCAGTGACCTAAAAATTTTGTCCTGTATTATCTCATTTAATTCTGACAGCAAATAAATATAGGGGATAATATATCCATTTTGCAAGACAGAAAACAGGCTCAAGAGGTAAAGTAATCTGCTCAAGGTCAAAATAGCTCATAAATGGAAGCTTCAGGATTTGGACTCCAGGATTCCTTAACTTAAGTTCTCTCCATTGCATTTTAGCAGCGCTTACATATAAATGAAGAAACTAAAAATATTGGCATCATTGGATCATTTGTTTAGTGCTAGATGCTAATGAAATGTAGGATCATTTAATTGGTTTGATTCCAATACAGGTCAGTTAGCTTGAGTGTATAGCCTCCCCCATTATTAGCATCACTCATGAGAGTGGTACATTTGTTACCAAGGATGAACCTACATTGACACACATCATAATCACCCATAGTCCATAGTTTACATTAGGGTTTACTATTGGTGTTGGTGTACTTTCTATGGGTTTGTACAAATGTGTAATAACATGTATTCATCATTATGGTATCATACGCGGTATTTTCACTGCCCTATAAATTTTCTGTGCTCTGCCTTTTCATCCCTTCCCCCACCCAACCTCTGGCAATCACTGATCTTTTTATTGTGTCTATAGTTTTGCCTTTTCTAGAATGTCATGTATTTGGGATCATACAGTATGTGGCCTTTTCAGATTGGCTTCTTTCACTTAACAGTATCTGAAATATGCATTTAAGTTTCCTCCATGTCTTTTCATGGCTTGATGGCTCATTTCCTTTTAGCATTGAATAATGTGCCGTTGTTTGGATGTACCACACTTTATCCATTCACCCAGTGAAGGACATGTTGGTTGCTTCCAAGTTTTGGCAGTTATGAACAAAGCTGTTCTTAACATCCAAGTGCAGGTTTTTGTGTGGAGATAAATTTTCACCTCCTTTGGGTAGATGCCAAGGAGTGTGATTGCTGGATTGTATGGTAAAAGTATGCTTAGTTTTGTAAGAAACTACCAAATTCTTCCAAAGTAGCTATGCCATTTTGTATTTGCACCAGCAATGAATGACAGTTCCTGTTGCTCCACTAGTTGCTTCACTAGCATTTGGTGTCATCAGAGCTCGGATTTTGGCCATTCTAATAGATGTGTAATGGTATCTTGTTTTAATTTGGATTTCTTGGATGACATATAATGTAGAGCGTCTTTTCATATGGTTATTTGCCATCTGTCTATCTTCTTTGGTGAGGTGTCAAGGTCTCTGGCCCATTTTTTAATTGCGTTTTTTTTTTAAGGAAGATTCGCCCTGAGCTAGCATCTGTTGCCGGCCTTCCTCTTTTTGTCTTTTTTCTCCCCAAAGCCCGCAGTACATAGTTGTATATCCTAGTTGTAGGTCCTTCTAGTTCTTCTATGTGGGACGCTACCTCAGCATGGCTTGCTGAGGGGTGAGTAGGTCTGCACCCGGGATCCGAACCAGTGATCCTGGGCCACCGAAGTGGAACATGCAAACTTAACTGCTGTGCCACCAGGCCTGCCCCAGATTGTTTTTTTTTTTATTGTTGAGTTTTAAGAGTTCTTTGTATATTTTGGATAACAGTCCTTTATCAGATGGGTCTTTTGCAAATATTTTCTCCCAGTCTGTGGCTTGTCTTCTTATTCTCTTGATACTGTCTTTTGCAGAGCAGTTTCTAATTTTAATGAAGTTTACCTTATCAATTTTTTCTTTCATGTGTAGTGTCTTCGTGTTGTATCTGAAAAGTTATTGCCATACTCAAGGTCATCTATGTTTTCTCCTGTTATCTTCTAGGAGTTTTATAGTTTTGCATTTTACGTTTAGGTCTAAAACCAATTTGAGTTAATTTTGTGAAGGGTGTAAGATCTGATCTAGATTCATTTTTTGGCATGTGGATGTCCAGTTGTTTCAGCACCATTTGTTGAAAAGATTATTTTTGCTCCATTGTCTTGCCTTTGCTCCTTTGTCAAAGATTGGTTGACTGCATTTATGTGGGTTTATTTCTGGGCTCTCTGTTCTGTTCCATTGGTCAATTTGTCTATTCTTTAATCACTGTCTTCATTCTTATAGCTTTAAACTAAGTCTTTTTTTTTTTTTTTTTTTTTTTTAAAGTTTTTTTTTTTTTTTTTTTTCCCCCCAAACCCCCAGAAAATAGTTGTGTGTCATAGCTGCACATCCTTCTAGTTGCTGTATGTGGGACGCGGCCTCAGCATGGCCGGAGAAGCAGCGCGCCGCTGGGAGCCCGGGATCCGAACTCGGGTCGCCAGCAGTGGAGCGCGCTCACTCAACCACCAAGCCACGGGGCCGGCCCTAAACTAAGTCTTGACATTGGGTAGTCAGTCTTCCAACTCTCTTCTTCTCCTTCAGTATCATGTTGGGTGTTCTGTGTCTTTTGCCTTTCTGTATAAACTGTAGAATCGGTTTGTTAATGTCCACAAAATAACTTGCTGGGTTTTGATTGGAATTGCATTGAATTTATAGATAAAGTTGAAAAGAAGTGACATCTTGACCATATTGAGTCTTCCTATTCATGAACATGGAATATCTCTCCATTTATTTAGTTCTTTGATTTTGTTGATCAGAGTTTTATAGTTTTCCTTATATAGATATTATAAATATTATGTTAGATTTATACCTAAGTGTTTCATTATTTTTGAGTGCTAATGTAACTAACAGGCATACCTCATTTTATTGCGCTTTGCAGATATTGTATTTTTTTACAAGACCTTTTACCAGCAAAAAGATTATGACTCACTGAAGGCTCAGATGGTGGTTAGCATTTTTTAGCAGTAAAGTATTTTTTTAATTAAGGTATGTATATTGTTTTTAGACATAATGCTACTGCACACTTAATAGACTACAGTATAGTGTAAACATAACTTTTATGTACCCTGGGAAACCAAAAAATTCATGTGACTTGCTTTATTGTGATATTCACTTTATTGCAGTGGTCTGGAACTGAACCCACAGTATCTCTGAGGTATGCCTATATTGTGTTTTTAATTTCAAATTTCACTTGTGTATTGCTGGTATATAGGAAAGCAGTTGACTTTTGTATATTAACCATGTATCCTGCAAGCTTGCTATACTCACTTATTAGTTCTAGGAGTTTTTTTGTCCATTCTTTAGAATGTTCTACATAGACTATCATGTCATCTGTGAACAAATACAGTGTTATTTCTTCCTTCCCAATCTGTTTACTGTTTATTTCCTTTTCTTGTCATATTGTATTAGCTAGAACTTCCAGCACAGTGTTGAAAAGGAGTGGTGAGAGAGCACATCCTTGTCTTATACCTGATCTTAGTGGAAAGCTTGGCATTTCTTACCGTTAAGTATTGTTAGCTATAGGTTTTTTGTAGATATTCTTTATCAAGTTGAGGAAGTTCTCTTTTATTCTCAGTTTACTGAGAGTTTTTATTATGAATAAGTGTTGGATTTCGTCAAATGCTTTTTCTGCATTTGTTGATATGATCATGCGATTTTTCATTTTTAGCCTGTTGATGTGATAGATTACATTCATTGATTTTCAAGTGTTGAACTAGTCTTGCATGCCTGGGATATATTTCACTTGGTTGTGATGTGTAATACTTTTTATACATTGTTGGATTCAATTTACTGATATTTTGTTGAGGGTTTTTGCCTCTATACTCATGAGAGAGATTGGTCTGTAGTTTTCTGTTCTTGTAATGTCTTTGTCTGCTTTTGGTATTAGGGTAATGCTGGCTTCATAGAATGCATTAGGTAGTATTCCCTCTTCTGTCCTCTGAAAGAGACTGTGGAGAATTGGTATAATTTCTTCCTTAAATGTTTGGTAGGGCTGGCCCGGTGGCACAGTTGGTTAAGTTTGCGTGCTCCGCTTCGACGGCCTGGGGTTCGAGGGTCGAATCCCGGACGTGTACTTATGCACTGCTCATCTAACCATGCTGTGGCGGCATCCCGCATACAAAATAGAGGAAGATGGGCACAAATGTTAGCTCAAGGGCTAATCTTCCTCAGCAAAATGAGGAAGATTGGTAATGGAT